TAACTTGTTCATTCATGTGCTTACGCTTAGGAGCATGGGTTTATGAGCGAACGAAAGCGAGCTATCGCTTAAGATCAAGCATGAGAATTTTGTTTCCAAGAGTAGAACGATGGGAATAAAAGAGGGTTGATGCTTATTCACGCGTCGAATGAGAGCAATACGATCGATTGCGTTCGTTCGTTCGTTCGTTCGTTCGTTCGTTCGTTCGTTCGTTTATTCGTTTATTCGATCGACCAAAAATACTTTAAATCGCTTTCCTACGTAGACTTGTATCTAACTCGCAAAACAATCGATCTAATAGTTGTCGATTATCTTTCCGAGTAAGTAGATATTTATTCTTTTTGTCAAACAAACGATAATAATAATAGAAGATATTAGCTATACATTACGGAAGTTTAAAAGATCGATCGACTGGATACTTGCTGTCTACGATATATGTAAATATGTACGTAGCTACTCGAGACGCATTCGATATCGGCCTTTCTCGATACGAAAGCATCCGCAAATATTACGCGACGACGAAATGGGACGACGCAGTTAATAACGGGGAATAAGCGGCCAGAAACGGCTCTTTCTCTCTCTCTCTCTCTCTCTTTTAATTAGTTTGTATCGTCGGCCTTACCGAGGACTCACTCGAAGAAGGAAATGGCAAAGCCGATGAAACGAGTATGCTGGCTCGCTAGCTAACTCGCTCACAGCTAATAACGCCAACACATCACAGCCTCTACCGACGCTCCTGTCGAACGCATCCGAATGAAAATATGCCGATCGATCGAACGTGTCCTCAGGTGCTTTGTATTTCCGTAACATTTGTATTTACGTATTTATGTACGCGTACATACGCTTCTCATTAACGACGACCCTCGTGAAATGGGAGAAATTACATTGGATAATTCATTAATTACAATTAGCTGGAAAGATGAAAAGCGAAGCGTGCAATTTTAAACTGACTTTGTGTATCGAATAAATATGAAAAAGTAAGTCGAAAGACTAGTATCTATCTGTTATACGCTCTTAAAAAGTAATACTTTTGCAAAAATAATCGGCTCCGTCTATATTACGCGTGAAATTGCATCAGCGAGTACCATCCTCCAACCTTCTTCGTCCCTCTCTCTCTCTCTCTCTGTCTCACTCTGCAAACTCAATTACTTCTTCTTCGACGAAATTACAAATTTCCTGTTTGCTAATCCAAAAAACTTTTTGTACCGACGTATAGATGAAAAAATAAAAGGAGAAAACTCGTTGCCGTTATAAGCTCGCGGTTGTGTAAAAGCGTATCGATTTCGTTAGGAAGTATCGATTTCGTTAGACGCTCCTTCCACTGGCTATTCGAGATCACAGCAAAATACAACGCGCGCGGACGCGTAACAATCACTGCCCAAGCGATATGGACGAGCTAAAAGGTCAATGAACGCTTAAGTTCCCTTCGAGTGAAGTACCAAACTCGTCTCGTCGCTTTTATATTTGGAAAAAAAAAGAATATGGAGAAGTGAACGGAAAGCGAGAGAGAGAGAGAGAGAGAGAGAGAGAGAGAATGGAAGGAAGAAAGGGACGCTTTTGTGCATACGGCTGTTTTAAAAGGGAACACAGGTAGAAAAAGAGAGAGAAAAATGTAGTCCCGGCAAGTTCGCGAAGAGAATGTCGATTGACTAGGACGGACTAAATCACTCGTTAATTAGTGGAGTTTTTCCAAGTGCGAACCAACGGAAGATATTTTTTGACATTAATTTTACGCGAATACCTATCGAAGTTATTTTCCATGCTTTGCAGGCTTGCAATCGCATGGGAACTCACTCAAAATAGATTTATTATACAACGTGAGAGCACCCATAAGTTAATTTTTAGTAGATTTGATCGATTGTAGATAGTTTATCATTATGAAGAATTAAGTTTGCCATAAATAATGAAGCGAGCTCAAGACGGGGAAAAATAACTGTAAGAGGATGAGAGTGTTGTCGAGATAGATCGCTTCGTACGTAATGCTGAATATTCGAATATTTGCGCGAAACACTTGTGAAGGAGCTCAAGGGAATATACAATTCTTCGATGTAAATTCTCGAAAAGGATAAAAGTAGGAAGAATCGAGAGTTAGTCGAGCAAAGAATCGGCGAATGCTTCGAAGACGAGACTCAACTTATCCGAAATGCTCCAGCGTCAAATCGACGTATACGAACTTTCACGCGAGAAATACATAGTTTGAAAGCCGTAACTAATGTCGACTACATCCTCTTTCTCTCTCGCTATCCTTTACGCTCTTTCCTTCCCATGACTGACTCCTTGCATATTCAACCATGCCAATGTACCAGGCGAAACATCGCGCTCGGTTAATTCGAGAATATTCCAAATACTCGAATAGCAAAAGGCAAACCATCCGTTCGATCGAGCCTTCTCGGTTTCCCCTAAGCTTCGGAATAGTCCTTACGCGTTTTAGTGCAATTCGATCGCTTCGATAACTTTCATACCGTAGGCGTTACAAAAAATAGAGCGTCGTCTTCCGCAAAGACCCGTTTAAAAGAGATTTCGTTATATAGTTTTAATAGGATATTAATATCAAGTGTTACGTAGAATCCATTTATAACGATTTATAAAGAAGAAGAATTAAGAAGAGAAAACTATATCTCGATTGCGAAATATATTAGACATCGATCCGAACGAATAAAAAAGGATCAAGTAGAAAGACGTTAAGGACCGAATCGATGGATAACTCGTTAAACGATCGTAATTAAAATGATAATAAAGTTAAAAACTGACAAATCCTTATTGATAGTCTCGATAAAGAGAATATTCGCATTTTCATTTCACCGTGGCATCGCTCGTTCGCTGGCTTTTCACGCACGTCGAGCTATCTACGTAAGTACGCGCATTGTCCGCTTCCCCGTCGGTTTCTCGCAGCACGAGGTCGAAAGCGCAGGCGCGTTATCCATACAGCATATTCAAAGTTTACCCCGTTACTCTCTCTCCCTCCCTCCCCCTTCTCTCTCTCTCTCTCTCTCTCCTCCGAGCTTCGATTCAGAGTGGCATGGCTGGAAAGCTCGTACACTCTGTCCTCTTACGAGGCCTATCCGCATTATTATATGCAATTTCCAGTACAGTTCTAACGACGTTAGTGACTCTTCGTCGTTAGTTAGCATTGGAAAGGCGTCAATCAAATTCTCGTTTTGTTCCATCGAAATGGACAATATCAATTTAAGTAGTCACATCGATGTTCGATCAGACACGCTGTCAAACGTTTTTACGAAACTAAAGATCGAATTACATACGATCGAAAAAACGTGTCAAGTTTCAGCGTTCAATGACTTAATAGTGAAAAGACATAGAACGTTCTCTGTGATAGAAATGGATCTTGGTACTAAAGAATAGGTGCTAAAGTAAAGCACGAAAGGAACAGCAAGAAGGGAGGTATCGGAACGGCCAGAGAATAAACGAACAATCCTATAGTTGAGCTTGCGGTTGGAAGGTATAGTTTGTACGGATACGAGAAAGAGAGAGGGAGAGTGGTAGTAGTAGTCAAGCAGGACTATTCGGGTTAGGTTCGGGTGGTCTAATAAGAAGAGAGAGAGAGAGAGAGAGAGAGAGAGAGAGACAGAGAGGGTAAGAAGAAAAAGCAGCAGCAGTAGCAGCAGCAGCAGTATCAACATCAGGGTGGCAGGGTGACAGGCAAGCAAGCAGGCAGGCACGCAAGCAAGCAGGTAGGAGGCAGGCAGGAAGGAACAAAGGGCGCTTGCGCGATGGAACGGCCGGGCTAGACGCGAGAGCCGCCACTCCCGAGCGCGTAGCGGCGTAGCGCGGGTGCTGACCGAGTGTCCCCGTGAGAGAAGAGAGAGAGAGAGAGAGAGAGAGAGAGAGAGAGGGAGAGAGAGAGAGAGAGCACGAGAAAGGAAGGTAACGAGAGAGAGAGAGAGAGAAGTTCGTTGTCGAGAAAGACGACAACGACGACGACGGCGACGACGACGACGACGACGACGACGACGACGACAACGACGACGACGACGACGACGACGAGGACGTCGACGAGGACGTCGACGAGAAAGACGACGATCACGTCGGCGACGAGGAAAAGGCCAAGGAAGAAACCGAGAAGAGGACGACTCGGTCATCGCGAGAATGTCCAGCGTCGTCGAGGTAAGGATTCTGTGGAAGCCGGCCACGCAGATCAGCCGGCGAGCGAGTTGGGGATGCGTCGTCGAGTAAGAACGAACTTATAAGAGATAAAGGAAACGGAGGAAGGAGAAATAAGGGAGAGCTACAGAAAGAAGAAATATCCTCTCCGCGTCTCCTATACAACGGCATCGAAATAATAATATCTACATTCCCGTTATATATACGTATACTGTGTCGTCCCTCGTCGTCTCTCTCTCTCTCTCCGCGCGTCATCTTTCCGATTCTCTTGGTGAGCCTTCGTTGTCGGAGGGACGAGATTTGCTCGAGGTGTTAGAAGAGAAACGTCGATGCGACGAACGAGATCGTTAAGGTGTGAAAGTCAACTCGAAAGAAATCCTTTCCTTTATTAAAAGAAGAATTGAAAGAAGAGAAAAAAAGGAAGACAAAGGAAGGAGAATGAATCTCTGGAAATTGGTGTTTCAGTGAAGGAATCCGTTTGTTCGTCGCGACGCATTATCACGATTAACGAATGACTAATCGAAAGTACTACTCGTGTCGGTGGTCACGCGTTCATTGATTGCTCGTCGTAGTATAAAACTCACACATTTTATTTCGTGATGAGAGTGGTAATAAACATTCGAGGGTGGATCGTCCAGTGTTTCGAGAAAAAATTTCGTGAGTGAGAGTGAAGACGAAACTGGGAAAGGATTACTGACACGCGTAATATCCCTAATTGCGAGAGGAAAAGTTGGAAAAAGGAAGAAAAAAGAGAGAAAGGAAGAGGAAAACGAGAGAGAGAGAGAGAGAGAGAGAGAGAGAGAAGGAGAGGCTTCGAGAGGGAGCAAGACGGAGGTTGGAAGGCGGGGCGGGTGGGAGGGCGGGAGGGAGGGTGAGTCGCGGACAGGACGCAGAGAGGCGCCGGGTCAACGCGCCAGGTAGCAACGCCTCAGGACAGCCGTCGACGTCGTCCTTGCCGTCGTCCTTGCCGTCGTCTCTGCCGTTGTCCTTGTCGCAGCCTTCGAGGCCGACTTGGCCGTCATCGTTCGCGGCCAGGAAGCGTACACTTGCACACACACACATACACACACACACACACTCATACGCGCGCATAAGCACTCAAAGACAGACAAACACGTACGACCGCACACACAATAATACACACTACATCCGCTTTCTATTTTACAAAGACACGTACACGTACTTACACGACCCTCGCACGCGTTACATAGGGAAACGAGGTAAAATCGGCGGCGAACATGAGGTCCTTAAACGCAGCATCCTGGAGCTTCGTCTTTCTCGCGGCCACGGTGGCTTTGCTGCCTGCCACTCATTGGGCACCCTTCGCGCACGCTGCGTAAGTAAAATCTTTCTTTTGTTTACTTTACGATAATATATTTCTAAGCTTTATATTGAGGAACGAAGAAACAATGGTTTGCTCTCTCCCTCTCTCTCTCTCTCTCTCTCTCTCTCTCCCGTTCATTTGCACCTACTAAAAATTGACAAACGAGTTTCGACGCTCGTAACATACTCGGGATAATGAAATCGATCGTCCGCGTTAAATATTCGCGAAAAATCGGCTGAAAGTCAGGCTCTTTCTCTCTCACTCTTTGTACGCATGAGATATGTACATACGTCGTTGGCGGATTCGCAATGTTGCCCTCATTTCGCTTTATCTACGCTCGACCACGCGCTTTTGTATCCTATTCGTTCTAACTCTCTTTCGTCTCTTTCGTCGATCCACTCGTTTTCCGTGTTTCTCTAGTGAAATAACTTCTACGTCCGTTTGAAAAAATGTGGTTCGATCGTTATCACGGAAAATAATATCTAACGAATAGCGAGCGAAAATGTTTCAACGGCCGTTGAAATTGTCTGAGACAATTCGTGCGAGGTGTCATGATGCTTATGTACGAGCGACGGGAACGCGACACCGAAGGCTGTCGAAACACCCTCTTGGATAGTATGTAAATGTCGAGCTCCTCGGACGCGTATTACAACGTCCTAACTCGTATCACCTCGCTAATGTCAACGAACATCCCTCCTCGAACTTCAATTATTCCAGATTAATGGTCATTCCTAAAGATATTTCACGAATGAAAGATTCTCGAAACATTTCGCGAAAAATACTTTATTCCGATGGATAAAGTTTCAGCATGTATCGATCCTACAAAAACGAAGATTGTTCGTTCAAACATGCTTCCAACTAATGAGGTTTCCCGTGAACGATTCGAGTTGAAGAACAAAAATAAGAATAGACGACCAGAGTAATTGTCTATATAGAACCTATTTGTCAGATGGAATCGTATAATTGTCGTGGATAATCGATATGATAATATATTAGCATACTGTATAGACGACAGGAAGAAGTATAGTTGGCTGGAATTATCAATATTTACGCTTTTCTTCGAAGCACGGTCTCGTCTCGTTCCACCTGTTTCCTTCTCGAGGGTCGTGCCTCTCTTCGGGCTCCTCCAAACCCTACGAGTACCAACCGCGAACGTTCCGTAGTGTGGTATCGGTGATCACAGTAGAGCTCTCGAGGCAGGAGGGTGCTCCCGATGTGGCAGAACTCCAAATCCTCCCCTCTTTGTCTCTCTCCCTCTTCGTCTCTCTATCTATCCGTCTATCTAGCAGCCAGCATGTCCCCTCCCATTTTTTTGGACCACCGGCAAATCGTTCTCTTTCTTATCACGAAAGACGTCCATCTCGGATTTAGCAACATCTTTCGATTCTGCCTGCAAACGAAACTTCCTCTTTTCATTGTTCCCAATTCCCTTCGATAAATTTACTAGTTGCAAAATAAAATCTTTGATCGGACTGAAATTTCAAAGAGTAAAAATCGAAGCGATCCGTTCGGTTGATAACTCCGTCCGATTTATCGTTTCAGAATTTTATCTGTCGAACGGGACTAGTTTAACGTCTTTCTCTTATCTCCCGCCCGTGGAAACATTTATCGAGCAAGAAGAACGAGAAAAAGAATAAAGAAGGAAGAAAAAGCATCGTCCCCCTATCTCACTCGTGAGAGTTCGGTGGGTGGGCTGGGGGAATTGAAAGCGTCACGGCGATACCTCATCCGGTCGCGAATCGTTGTGTTTTCGTCGTGAAAACATCGGATAGTCTGACGCGGAAACGAGAAAAATCGTGCCAAGTCATTCGACTCCACGGTCTTCTGACCCACTTACCCGGAAAGGAAAGGCAGGCGCGCGCGCCCGCCCGCGTGCTTTACATGGAACCGCTGGAACCAAATTTCTCGTTACTTTCACGCGTCGTAGACTTACTTTGTAGATCGTATCGAAGGCGAAAATATGAAAATACTGATAAAATATGTAAAAAAGGATTTTTTTAATCGTCGTTAACGGGAAAAGTCAGCGAGCTGAAATTAGCTAAAAATCATCCATCGATGCGAAAGTTTTCTACGAAGGATGAACGTCGAGACGCTTCGTTAGAGTGGAATGCCGCTTTTGTCTTCGTCGAAAGTCGTCCGATCTCGGTAATCTCGCTTCGCGAGATTTTTTACGATTTAAGTGAAAAGGATGGAGAAGAAATCGATCGATGGTGACGCGCCATCGCGGATCACCGATTTTCACGTTCCCGTTCGAAATTTGCGGTTCTCGAGAAAGACAATTAGTAGCTGACATCTCGAGGGCAGAAGTTGGCAATAACGATGTTCGAAGGAAGGAGGCGGACGATATAGGCATATCCGCACGACAAACAACCGATGCATATTTAATAACAGTCGATTATTAATGCGCGCGCGCGCTTATAGAGATGATTGATGAAACTGCAACAATGCCCCTGCGATTCTGATTGACGCCGTTGCGTTCTAATGATCGCGATAAAAATCTTTCATTTTTCTTCGACGCTAGATCGTGCCGAAAGCAATAATCCTCCGATAGTTATTTACCTATAGTTACCTATTCGTTTGATTAAACGAAAGTTCTTTCGATTCGATTGACGTAGATTTTTCGTTTGCCGGTAAAATTAATTGAACCGTCGATCGAGGAGAAACGGTACGTTTCGTTTTAGATATATTTATAAAGGAATTCATGTTCGCTCGAATGACATCAAAGATTTTTCGATTCGCGTAATGCAATCTTTGATTGACTCGTGAAAGTACCTATTACCTGTTCAGAGAAGATTCATCAAGTTGTTGCGTGCCATTTAATCGGATGAAACTTCCCCCAGTTACGTTGAAATCGAATACTCTTCGGTATCAGTAATATCCGGCAACGCGGTTGATCGAGCCTTCGACTGTCTGGTCATTCACCGTACTTCACTACTGGCACCCTTCTCTGAATACGTGTGTTTATGTACGAACATTATGTTCTACATCTAGCTATACGGCGCACGTTTAAGCATTCGTCTCGTCTCTCATCGGGATCAAAACTGAAAATCGCACTGGAATTATTTCTTCGATTCTCAACGCGCTCGATCGATTTTTCGTTAAATATCTTCCATAGTGCATGCTACGCTTTACGATTACTTCAAACGTTTTTCGTACGCAGGTATCTTTTTTTTTTTTTTTTTTTTTTTTTAGTTCAGACGAATTTGAAACATTAGCCGGCGGTGACCATAGAATTCGAGACAATACTTTTTTAGCTCGTAAATTCGCGGTGACTAGTGTAATACTAGCGTCGCGACTGGGCTCTAGGAGCGTGGTCAACTAGGAGCGCCGAGAAACCACTTTAAATCCATTAAAAATTAGGCAAGTACTTTGAAGAAGAACGATATTTCGTCGAATCGAGCGATATTTTGGATTATTTTCAATGTGCATTGCGACCAAGCCAATATGTACCTTTGGATTTCGTGGGAACTACAGGCTCGGCTAATCCGCTGACGCCAGCTTACCGAAAGATAAGAGAAGCGATTTTCGTTTGCTTCCTGTCGTTAACTCTTTCCTATCCCTTCGAATGTTCGCTCGAACATTTTCTCCATGACATTGACGATTCCTCTTTATTAGACTTATTCCGAACAGAACAAACGACCAGGATTAGATAAGAATAACGTATTAGAAAATGTGTGTGTGTGTGTATTCGCATGATATAATTGGTAGATTCGAAGGTCTTTCTTTTAAAATAGAATCTAAATCGAGCCAAGTTCAGGTCGAGTCCGAGGCACATCCGTACTCGCGGAAGTCGACTATAGCCGCGAGTGACTAGTGGAAACAAAGGGCGCAAGCAAGAATCAATGTGCTCGCGAGAAGAGCGGACAGCTTCGAGAAAGTTGACCTAGCGATACCTCGTTGATTATGGGAAAACGAAATGTAAGGTCGAAGAGATAAGGAATTGGAGTAAAAGGGGAGGGGGAGTGTTAGATATGTCGGCCTAGGGACGACGCTTAAGGGAGCTCGGTGGTCAAAGGAGAAAGAAGGCGATCGGAGTGCCGCCAAGTCGGTCGACGTTTCTTTTGGCGTAAACGGAGACGGTTGACGGAAAAAGGATAGATCCGTGGGAGACAGAGAGTGACAGGTGGATGGAAATGCGTTGCAAAGATTCGCGAAAAGCTCGGACTTGAAAATGATAGAGAAGTGGAAGGGAGTGGAAGGTAGTCGAATAGATAGAGTTAGAGATAGAGAGATAAGGCCGGTGGGGGGAGGGTCGTGGGAGGTCGAAGGCGGTTGACGGCGAGCTCGCGTGGGTGCCCAGAGGCAAAAGGGGCTTTCTCGCGTGCAGCCTTGACATGGGCCAAGAAATCAATGGGACCTCCAACACACCGACGCAAACTCGGTCGGCGTAGTCGCACACGAGCAACGTCCATAACTTTTGAGCTCTAGCTACTAGGACTGCAGACGGCGGAAAAGAGTCCGAGGGACGATCGGATTCGTTAGTCGGTCTCCTCGGTGACTACGACGATCGATTTCGCATCGACGTTCCACGCGGAGAATCGCCTTGAAAAGCGTTCATCGCGGAAAATCGTACCGAGCATCTATCTCGTCGGCCCAATCTACGAGAGAAGAACTCGCTTGCGTATCTTTCCTACAGGCGGACCCGTAAAGAGCATGATCGCCCGATGAAAGAACATGAAGGGACAACACTCGTTTCAGCAGTTATTTCGGAGAACGTTAGAAACACGTGCCAATAAGGACTGACCCAATTTTTAATCGATTCGAGAATCAACGGACGGTATTCTCCTGTTTCCAACAAATAAAATATATCCTTTTAAGAGACTAACCGACTTTCACGCGAAACATTCGTTCTTCCTTTTAACTCGAACACACGCAGGTTTCTATTTAAAAAGGATTCCTTGTAAATTCGTTTCGTCTATCTTTACGAGTCGCGACGATGAAAGAAAATGAAAACGTCGAAAAACCTTCGCCGAAGCAGAGTCGTTTCGTTCGTGTAAGCCGCAATCAAAGCC